CCCCCCCGGAAACCAAACGAGCAGGGAGGCCATGTTAGTGAGCACTGAGACTTGATGTCGTGTTCCATGATAGTTTTCGCGGGAGTAACATCCCGAACCAACCCGCGTCCCGGGGAGTTGCTCTGCGTGCTCGGTTTGGTTGGGCTTTGCCCGGTTGTGAGAATCACCAACGATTCAGTCTTGGCTTCTTGTGGTGCAGATTGGTGGGCTTCTCGTCATGGTGCTGCGCCGTGATTTGTGTTGGCCAGTTTTCCGCGTAGCGTTGGCTCATTGCGCTTGGCTGCTTGCGGTCCCTGTCCACCTCTGGCCTTCTGGTGCTTTTTCGAGTCGGTTCTTGGCTTTTCCCCTATTTTTGTGGTTGGTTGTTTGGGTCTCTTGCTCGCCTACAGTACTACCATGGTACGGTTTGTAGCGGGTCACCTCGGTGGCCCCTGCATTGGTGTATGGCCCGTATTTTTGTGGTTGCCACACGATCAAGTTCATCATCATTGCCAAGGTCATAACTGCAGTTTTCTGTGAGTCAGCCATTGAGAGTGCTCAAAGCGATCAGTTCACAGTTGTTCAGTCGATTTTGGCCGACAAAGAGAACCATCTGCAGAAGGCCATGGCCAGGGAGCATGCGAAACCGGAGAGATTTGGTGCACAAAAACAGAGGACACGATTTGAGAATATTTTGCAAAACAAAGAAAGCACTGAACGCACAGATGCTTTTGCGTGACACTAGCGTATGTTTTGGTAAGCCCTCGAGCGCTAGGAAATGCGTGTGCCAGGTGCGGAATTTGTTTGCGCGGTTGGGGGCAAACGCAGACAGTGGTTCAATCACATTTTCTATGCTGGAATCACAGATCAACTCTCCGGCTGTGGCCTAGACATCTTTAGAATATTTTAGAATTTGGTTTTCCGTTTTGCATGCATTCGTTCAGACTCTACGTTTTGTTTGTCAGTTTGTTCTCTTCCCACCTGTCATTTTTAAATCCCAAAGCATTTCGATTTCGTGCAGGTTCAAAATATGCGAGGGTGTTTTGGTATTAAAGTCATTTCAGGTCTGGCAATTCTATGTGGTGGGTTGTTGAAGTTGGGTTATTGCTGAACACATAGATATTGGGGCCCATGTCAGGCGTGAAACTTTTCAAAACAAACAGTACTATGTTTGAACAAGCACCTTGATGGACTACTGTAATTAAGCCCAAAGACAAAAAACAGGTACAAACTGACAAACGATCCTTTTCGAGTTGTTTTTCTTTTCTTTTGATGATAGCGACAAAAATCGAACCAAAAACCGAACTAAACACAAACACAGACACAGACACCAAACAACCAACCAACCAACCAACCAACCAACCAACCAACCAACCAACCAAGCAAGCAAGCAAGCAAGCAAGCAACCAAGCAACCAAGCAACCAAGCAAGTAAGCAAGCAAGCAAGCAACCAAGCAATCAAGCAATCAAGCAACCAAGCAACCAAGCAACCAAGCAACCACGCAACCAAGCAACCAAGCAAGCAAGCAAGCAAGCAAGCAACCAACCAACCAACCAACCAACCACCCACCACCAGGAGGAGGAGGGGAGGAGGAGGAGGATATAATTATGCGCCACCATCATTGTTACAAGAATTACCACGGATTTCATGATTCATGTGGTAAAACATATGTACACAGCCACTGGCACCAGGTTTTGATCTACATTTCATTGTGTATAGGGGTGGTCGGTGCATAAGACCATGCAAACCTTTCTCAGCCTGTGTGGTCGCATGCTTTTCCCGCCAAGGTACATGAATACTTTACGTCATTAGGCCTCGACATTTGGGATGCTTGGACATTTTTTAGGCTCTTGGATGCAGATGGTGGTGGGGAGGCAGGGCAGGAGGGCAGGGCAGAACATGATCAATTCGCAGTGTCTTTGTTCTTCATCATTCACGATCTTGTTTCTTTATGATTCTTTTAATTCTTTTGCTCAGAAGAGCTTGAGCAGTTGGTTGTGCGACGTGCGGACCGCGCAGGTAGAAGTCGAAGAATTTCTGATGGGTTGCCTGCGTTTGCGCGGACCAGCCACGGCTATTGACATGGGCAAGGTTCTTCGAGACCAGAACTGGGTCGTTCAAACACTAGGCACGAAGCTTCGTCCATTTTGCTTTGGAGTTGTGTGGGAGGTGTGGACAGAGTTTCCAAGCAGAACTGTTTAGTTCCGGGAAGTAATGGAGAGCTAACGTAGTACCACCCAAAGAAACAACAAAAGTATCGCACGTTCGCATGTCATGTCGTGTTGACAAGCGTGGTTCTTCCAGGACGCTTCAGCGCCTACGTGGAAGGTGAACTCCAACATGTCAAGCTGATGTTGCTTGGCACCGTTGACTTTCGTCGTTCACAAGTGGTCGCCAGAGTCAGGTTACCACGTCCAAACGTGGTACTTGTGTCGGGAATGGTTGCGGTACTTGTCCTGCTCAGAAAAGGCTAGCCGTTGACACCTGGGAGCCTACCAGCTCAAAGCAACTGTGTCTCAGTCGTCTCGTCTCGTGTCTCATCCGGTTTGATGTCGAGGCTAGAAGCTGAACGGTCCTCTCCAGATCGCGGTACCAGGTAACCTTCGTGAGTTTCTCTTAATGATCCTGCTGATTGCAGAGTATGAGAGTCTTCGATTTGCCAAGCATTCGAAACTCTATTTGTGTGTCATGCAGTTTCATCACCGAGAAGCACCACCGAGAAACAAGAACAAGGGGGGTTTCATTTCACTAGTGAGTAGCGGAAACCGAGAAGCAAGACCAAGGGGGTTTCTTTATTTCACTAGTGAGTAGCGGGCAGCTGATTGTGGCAGAACTTTGACATGATCAGAAAGACCCAGTGGTGATGAAGCAACACATGAGCATGAACAACTAGTGAAGGAATGTCGGCAGCGTACGATCAAAAGTCGTTGCTTAGAAGGCCTGGGAGCATCCAATAGAATTCACAAAGGTCTTTTGCTCTGACAAAAGTGACCGTGAAGAACCTCATGAATCACGAAGTACTGAAGCTCCTTATTTGAATGTGACATGATGCTCCGGAATATGGCTGGTGTTGCTCCCTTTCATGGCTTTCTTCACAAGGCAGGGCACCCCCTTGTGTCATCTCATCAGGGCCTTGTGGTGATCCGTTCCCTCATGGGAACTGGATGAACTCCAGATGACCTTCGGCTTCAGACCTGGTTCGTCGAAAAGAGAACGACCTCGTTACGGTACGTCCTCGACGGTCTCGACGGGTCCGGGGGGACCGGAACGGGACGACGGGTCCGGGTCGGAGGGAGGAGGGAAGAGGGAAGGGTCGGCGCTCGCTTTGGCTCGTGGTGATCTGAGACAAGTCCTTGCCTGGCCTGTTTTGCACACACACAGAGGTGGTTCATTGTTGCTTGAGATGCCATGAGGTGCTTACCCCTGGCTTTTTTGGGTCAAGAACATTGGCCTGCCAGTAAGGTGGTGCAAGGACGACCAGGCTGATGTTCACCACACCATTCACCCAGATGAACCACACTGATGTTGAAATGATCCAACCGTCCTACAGGGTTGTTGACATGTGTCCTTCCCCAATGAACAACTAGCAAAAGCGCTGTAGCCTGTGGGTGCTCTTCGACGATGGCATCGACTGGCAGAGAGGGGAGCATAGGCCATGCGCAGCAAAGAGAGGCCGACATGGGACTCACTTCGGCTAATTCTAGGCATGGAACAAACAATTGTCAGGAGAGCTTTTTTGCAGTTTGAACATGTTTGAACAAGCTTGTCTTTTCCAAGGGACCAAGACTAAGTTGGAAACTTGTTGTCGTCCTTCCCTTTGATTGGGGGGGAGTTGGATTTGCACAAGTGCTTTGCCTATGATTTCTGCCAAAAATACGCACAAACGGGACTTGTACACACCGCCCCTATAGCGAACTGTCAGTCGAAACAAGAAATGATTGATCCGAACATTCAAGATTTTGTGCAGCCTCTCCAGGTACAATCCCAGAACTACTGCACACTGAACTCTGGGCCTGCCAAAGGACATTTTGCACTTTGGCTCTTCAATGCTAACTGCAGAGATTCAAACCTTTGCTCAATCAAACAGACGTTGCCAGTTCAGCGAGAAAGAAGCAAAGATGGGCACGAGGCGTTAGAGGCAACTGACTCAGCTGACCATCCAACGATGTGGCCACACCCCATCATTTTGCACATCTTAAATTGGTGCCGAACCCATTGACTCCAGAGACCAGAGAGGAATGCATTCAACTGAAGTTGCAGCATATTACCAAATAAGGTTGATCTTTAGGATGTCATGATAAACTCTTGGAATCTTTTGGAGTTTTTTTCTTGGCAAGATCATTAATTATTGTTGCAGTGTGGGGGCGTGAGGCGGGTATTTAGAAACTGTGAGAACTTTGGTGAAAAGGTTGAGACAGCAGAACATGATGCTGACCTTCCTCAAACGCTGCTTCATGCCAATGGAAAGACTCCCTGTCTATGGCTCTGGTGGTCCAACATAATCTAGCAAGGGGGGTCTCTTTTTGGATCCTCATCCACTTGTTGAGAAGCCTGTACCTTATGCCCACAAAACGAATCAAGCCCTACCACCTGATACTAGGTACCGGGGTTAAGTTGTGTGGTCTTGTAGTAAACCCCGGCACTTGTAGATGAAACTCGATGAACTACCTCCTCAAACCAAAACCATCGGTGGTTTTGGCTGACCGTCCTGCTCGACTGACCCCTCAGGATGTGGCGCAGCTGAGGGCGTCCTTAGACTCGCGCCAGGGACCTGCGAGATATAGCCAGCTACAGGCCCGCTGGTCGGCCTCGGCAGCCGGAGCAAGCAAGAGGTGTTCGTCCACAAAAAGCTCAGACTCAATCCACATGGATGAGGGGATGATGGGAGATGTTATTGACTTCATGAGGTCAGACAAAAGCCACCTCCCTTTGGGGTATGCGATGGTATGCGCATGTATGCGCATTATCTCCAGGGCATTTCTCCAGGGCAAATGGGCGAATATGTGCTGTGCGTATGTATATATATATATATATGGTTGTCGATCTAAAGGTCCTAGACAGCATTGTGTATGACGATGACCCGGAACATATCAAAATCTCATTTGGCAAAAGTTTTTTCTCGAGTTGGCGAAAGTATTTTTTTGCGAAAGATCTGGCGAAAGATTAAATATGTACTTTTGTATGAATGTTCATTTGCTTCCTGAACAGCTGGTGAAAGTGACTCAGAAGTTAGATGAGCTGTGGAAGTTAGATAACCTGCTGCTGCGGCTACTACTACTACTACTACTACTACTACCACTACCACTACCACTACCACTACCACTACCACTACCACTACCACTACTACTACTACTACCACCACCACGACTACTACTACTACTACTACTATTACTATTCCTGCTCCTGCTTTGGGGGGTGGCTTTGCCAAAAAACTCTACCCCGCAAAAGGCGAAAGTTTGGCGAAAGTTCAGCTCAAGATGGCGAAAGTTCACCCTGCCACATCTGACCCCCAGCCCATTATGAGTAAGTTTGAGTGACCGGCTACTACAGTGATTCTTGCAATTTTGATTCTTGCTGACACCCAGGAGAAACAAAAGAGACGTACAGGGTGTCAACAGTTAAGTAGAAGACACATGCTGACAAACAGTGAAGTTTCTATTTTTTGTTTACCAGTAAAGAAGAAGCCATTGACGCGAACAGAACACAACATACATGGCACACATAAATACAACGTACTTCGGCGAAAGATAAAACGCAGGAAGGCGAACATTTGGCTAAAGTATTTTTGTTTTGGCGAAAATGACGGATCCCGGATAAAGGAATTTGGATCAACTCCCATATGTATGTATATATATATATATATATATATGTGAGCAACGGCTTTTATTTGCGGTAGTGAAGATTAGTCTAGGGGCGTTCCTTTTCTATAGCCCAATGTCACATTTAGTTGGCGAAACGAGGTAGGAACACCCCGAGAACGAGATGGGCATCAAATGCGCCATTTGTTTGAAATGGCTTGGTTAATGACATGTTTAGCTTGTGAAACGAGGTAGGAACACCTCTCGAGAACGAGATGGGTATCCACACACCAAAACGAAATACAGGAATGGAGAACGAGATCACACACCAAAAACGATGCGGGATTGGAGAACGAGGTAAGGAAGGTCCATGTGATAGTTTAACGGAAATGAATTCCATCGCCACCATCGCTCATATATATATATATATCCTCACGGGTTTACTTAAGACTGTGAGTTATTTAAATCATTTCCTTTCTTCAGTCGCCTTCTTCTGTCCACTGTTTGTAGAGCTTCTGTCCACGTTCATTAATCTTTTTACAAGTCCGCAGCCGCCACTGGTACACACAGCACAACAACAGACCATTTGGCTTCGGTACCCACCGCTTGAGATCAGCCCACATTTGATCCATAAGGCCTGCATTCACTTGGATCTCACTGTAACCTGCCACCTTTGCTTTGTTCCAGTACCCTGCAGAATGCATGCCAAACCTGTGCTTCAATATTTGTATTCTTCGGCCATGTACACGTAGCAACACCACCCAGAGAAGAATACAGAACTGACAACAAAAAATTGATAGATAGTCTGCTGCTTTAACTGCCTAACATCAAGTGTGTTTGCCACACTACACGCAGGTCAACACCAACCCCCGTGCGTACCATAGCATCAACAGCGTTTGCAACTTCAAAGGAACGTCAACACCACCCCGACCCCAGCCAAGCTGTGGCCAGGGTAGCCTCGGAAAGCTTCTCCCTAGTGGCCCTGAAAGAAACCTTAACTGTGCTGCAAATACCCTGCAAAACTATGCCCGAAAGCGCGAAATGCCACGGCCGTCTATCAAGCGTGTGCCCACTACATTGACGCTCACAACGTTGACCAAGAAAGCAAAATTGAAGGGTGAACAACTCCATATTACTTAGAATATAACATGTGCTTTTCCCAAACCCGACGAGTTCGCGAACACATCTTCCTGACTGCTAAATTCGTGAAATTTTGTTGAAATCAAACGGGTTCTTTTAAGACGCCTTAGTGTGCGCAACACGGCACGAATGCTACATCTTGACGCCCTGACCACCCCTTAAAATATACACATGAGATGACATCAAGATCTGCATGACCAAAAGAGATGGTGAGTACCCAAAAATATGCGACGATCCCTCGGAAGAGTAGGACAGTTCTGAATTCAAATTTCGCCTGTGATCTATGTAAAAACAACCAACACGAGCGCAGCGGACGTGTCCGTGCAGCGCAAACATCAAGAACATCAAGCGAAATACACATAGAAATTGCCATGAGGCATTTCGTACTACGTATTAGAAAAAAAACCGTCGGGATATATATTATATACACACGTACACGTTAGTGTGCATGTTTATTTTGGCCATGCATGCATGAGTTCATTTGCTGTGGGGAAAGCATCAGATCAAGAATGTACTTGCAATTCCGCAGTCAGCCATACTGTCATCCTCACAATTTCATTCAGACAAGCCACAAATAATGTATATAATATATATATATATATTTATATATATTTATATATATGCACGTGCACGCATATACACATCCAGGTGTCTCATCAGCACTGTGCCACTAGGCAATCATGGCTATGAAGGGTCTTGTCTTTGACCACAGCGGCCCTGAGAAGACAACATGCTCCAAAGCAGAAGCCGAATGAAGCAGTTCTTGCAAT